TTTACAGAGCAAATTCACTTTCCATACAGCAGTTCACATACACTTTGTCTCATGACATTGACCACAATTCACCACAATGCAACAGCTCCCCTCCCACTTCCTCAAGATAGTTACTTCTTCCCTGTGTCCATCCCTCCATGCACTCCTGCCCCCTAAGCTGTCTCCCTGTGCATAAGCAGCCCTTCTTTCTCAATGATTGTTCTCTCCAAGGAGTGTATTTACCTCAGGTAAATGTTCAACTCATATGCCTGTCTTTTGCTTGTCTGGAAACCACAGATGTGGGTTCAATTCCAGACAGACAGCTAGGAGCCATAGTCACAGTGGTTCCACCAGGCTCTATCAGACCAGCAAACCTAGTCCCCCTTTTATTTTTTCTTTCTCCAAATGAATTTGAGTTTTGTTCCACATTGTTCTCCCTCTCTATCCAGGATCTCCTACATAGATCCCCTTCCAAGTGGTTAACAGTGGTAGCCAGGCACCATCTAGTTCTTCTGGTCTCATAGTCATCTAGGCTGAGGATCTCAAGGTGTACCAGTCCCTTGGCCTAATTGTTTTAATGTGTCTTTGGTTTTCTTTATTCTTTGTTCTGGACAAGGAGAGACCCATTATTGCATCTAGATGGCCACCTGCAAGCTTTTAAGATCCCACTCACCACTCACCAAAGTAGGATGTGGAACAATATTTTGTGTAGTATGTTATGCCAATTCAGCTTGATGTCCCCTGCAACTATGGTCTCGAGCCCACAGGTCCAACTACTCACTCCTTCTGGGTAGCTGGCTGTGGCCAAGAAGTGACTACAACTTTGCCCCTTGTCAGCTCTACTATATACCTGGGAATTCTTACAGAACCTATAAATATACTTGTAGAAATATTGTTTGCCATTGTGTTGTTTTTTGAGAACCAACAGTTCTCAAAGTGTGGACGCAGCATCCTGGGGCTCCCTGAGACCCTCTCGAGGGGTCTGCCAGGACAAAACTCTTTTCACGATAACAGTAAGGCAATACTCGCCTTTTTCGCTCTCATGTTGTCACAAGTGGACAGTGGCGTTTCCCAGAGGCTGTGATGTGTGATATGGAACAGATGAAATGTGAGTCTAGTATGAGAATCCAGCTGTCTCCTCCTAAGCAGAATTCAAAAGATCTGCAAAATTGTCAAACAATACTCCTGTCTCACTGAATTCATTTTTGTTTGGGGAAATTATTTTAAAACATCTGTTTCAATTTTTCAGACAGTAAATATTGATAGAGATAATTCACACGAATCAAAGCTCTTTGAGGTCTTCAACAATTCAGAAACATGGAAGGAGACCTGAGACCAACAAGTTGGAGAACTGCTGAGCTAGCCCAACCCATGTTTTAGAGATGAGGAAATTGGGGCTCCGTGAGCCAAGGAGACTTGCTGAGTCACACAGTGACAGCAAAAACACTAGAACTGCCCCCTGGGGACCAATCAGATGCTCTCGAGTAAAAGGTCTTTTTCAATACAATCTGGGATTAATAAGTGGTAGGACATGTTATTGCAGAAGTCAGTTGAAAGGCTTAACTTCTTCCTTGGGTGCTGCCTGATAGAGGCAGAGAGGAATGGTTTCCATGGCAGATTGATCTCAGCTCACTCTGGTTCTATTTCTTTCCAGCTGTGCAGATTTGGGGTAAGTTATTGGATCTCATGGAGTTTCCACATCTCTTAAACAGAATGGCAAAATTTCACAGGGTAGCTATAGGATTAAATGAAACAAATGGGAACTTATGTCTGGCACTTGATACCGACATATAGCTTCTTTTCTTTTTTGTGCCAAGAACTCAGAAAGAAGAGACACACACCACAGTGGAGAAAATAGACTGAATCCAAACATTTTCTCCTAGACTTCCTTGTGGAACCTTCTGGAGAGAACTTTCTAGCACTGATAGCAAAGCTATAAAAAAAAAAAAAAAAAACCCACCAAAAAAAACCAGAGAAACAACAAATGCTGGTGAGGATGTGAAGGAGAGACTGGAACATATACTGTTGGTGGGACTGTAAAATAGGGTAACCTCTATGGAAAACGGTATGGTGCTTCCTTAAAAAGATGGAACTAGAAATACCATCTAATCCAGCAATCCCACTACTAGGTATATTTCCTAGAGAAATAAGAGCCATGATATGAACAGATACATGAACACCCATGTTCACCCCAGCAACAGCACAATAGCAAAAAGATGGAAACAACCTAAATGCCCATCAACAGAGGAATGGATCAACAAACTAGGGTTCATACACACCGTGGACTACTATGCTATGCTAAAGAACAATGATCTGCAAAACATCTCATAACATGGATAGACTTAGAGGACATTATGCTGAATGAAATTAGTCAATCACAAAAGAACAATTACTGTACAAGTCTACTATTGCAAAAAGTCAAGAAAAGGGTTTCACAAGAAAAGAAATATTCTTTGATGGTTCCCAGGTGTGGGTGGGAAGGGAGGGTAAACCACTAATGAGGGTTGGTGGTGGTAGGCGCCGTGGAGTCAATTCTGATTTATAGTGACTCTGTGTACAACAGAAGGAAATACTGCCCTGTCCTGCACCATGCTCATAATCTTTGCTATGCTTGAGCCCAACTAGAGGGTAGAAACATACCAATTTGGATGAAGGGAATTAAAAAAAAAGAGAAAATTGAATTACGTACGCTTGAGGGACACAAACATATATAGCGAAACCTGTGAGAGCCAGCACTGGATGGGACTGCCTTATTCATCTAGTCTCGCAAGTTTTCTGAAGGAAAAAAAAAAAAGCAACTTTGCAGCTTCCTGAAATGTTCCTGAGTGGTTCCCCAAGTTTTAGTTCTTTTATTCTAATGGCAAGCATATTTTCAAGTGCTTATTAACAATTCATATGCCTTCTTGATGAAATGTTTATTCAAATCTTTGGCTTACTTATTTTTAATAATTTTTTTATTTTAGAGTAGTTTAAGATTTATAGGAAAATTGCAAAAACAGTTCATAGAGTTCCCTTATACCCCTCACGCAATATTGCTATAGTTTTTTGTTGTTGTTGTTGTGTGGTAGTTATGTTTGTGTGTTAACCTGGCTGGGCCTGGTTGAGTGGCTGGGCAGCTGGTGGTAGTTATTCCCCATGATGAGACTGGCAAT